CTGCCGAGCTTGGACTTCGCGTTGCGGAGCTCGCCCAGGCGCCGCTCGCGGATCTTAGCCCATGACAGGGTGAAGCACTCCTCCGGGCCACTGAAGCAACGAGAGCGAACACGAGGAGAGGGACGACGACGAAAGGAGGAGGAGGAGGACGACGACGACGACGATGAGGAAAAGGACGAAAACCATAATGAATCAAACATGCGCAACCGATGCTGCAGTACTCCTTCCCGGCAGAAGTATCATCCTCGCACGTCCCTCTGAGTCCTCCTTCTCACTACAGAAGGCGCAAATACCAGCAAGGTTGGGATTTGGGCGATGGTCACGCTTTGAACAAGACATGCCTTGATCTCTCTAACGCGCATCCAAGAGAGCGAAAAAAATATCGCACAGTTCAACGAGGTGTCCAGCGAGGTCCCCCCTTCGAAGGACCCTCCCACCGTGCAACGAATGCACACATTTTGCACTTGTGGGCATGAGCTTCGAGAAAGTTCCAAGCGAAAGCTCCACTGAAACAAAGAATCGCCATAGATCCCTGCAGCCCTACGCACGTTGGAGCTTCCAGTCTTTCCACTTAGCGAAGTCTCAAGCAGCAACTCAGTTTGGGAGAAAGAGCCATCTCCCCGCCTGCTCAACGTCGAATTGAAAAACGAATGCGCGCGAAGCCGAGGCGAGAGCCACAGTTTGGAAACAAGCAATGCTCAATTCCTCAAACTCTTGCAAGAATGTGAAACGACTGTTTGCGGCGATAAGATGAGAACCCCACTTTGACCAAAAAACGAACCAAAAATAACCAAAAAAAAAAAAAACTCCGTGACGACAGTGCGAGGCTTTAAAACGAGTATGCGCGGCGTTAAGGCGAAGGCCACACTTTGAAAACACCCACACCCTTCAACCACCACCCTCCCCCCCTCCATCTCAAACATTGCGGCAACTGCGGAAGACGAACGTGCGCGGCGCAGCCACATTTTGAAAACCTCCCGCTGCCCATCCGTGAAACTGCTGCAAACGTTTGAAAACGATTGCGCGCGGCACTAAAGCGAGAACCACATGTTGAAAACCACCCCACACCACCTCCATCCATGAAACTGCTGCACGGTTTTACAATGAACTTGCGCGAAGCTAAAGCGAGAACCACAATGTGAAAATTCGCCGGCCCAACGGGCCAGGGCGTGCTAAGATCTCCGGTACCTGGTTAACAGTATTTCTAGTTCGCGCGCGCGGGGCGGCCCCTGGGGGTCCCCGGACGAAAAGTACCCCGGCAAGGTCCCGGCAAGTCCCCGGCAAGTCCCCGGCAAGGTCGGGTCAGAGATGCCGGAGTTCTGTTTCGGAGTCCAAGAGGGTTCCAGATCGGTCCAAGAGGGCCCCGAGAAGCTTTCTAGACGGTCCAAGAGAGGCCCGAGACGGCCAAAGATCGCCCGAAGACGCCCCAGATGGCCCCAGGACAGCCCAAGAGGCCTCCAAGACGCTCCAAGGGACTTCCAAAAGGCCTCCGAAGAGGGCCCCAAGTTGCCAAAATCGTTGATTTTCATTGTTTTTTCTATGTTTTTTTGCGTTCTGGCCTTTTCGCTTCCGGACGCTCCAAGAGGGCCCAAGAGGCCTTCAAGACTGCTCCAAGACGGCCCACGAGGCTCCCAAGACGGCCCCGGAGCGGCCCAAGAGCGCCCCCCAGACGGCCCAAGTGCTGCCCAAGGCGGACCAAGAGGCCCCAAGACGGGCCCAAGAGGGGCTCAAGAAGGGAACCGAGAACTGAAAAATCGAGCCCTCCGCCCCAGAAGGCGCCCAGGACCCCGAAAGAGGCCCCAAGAGACTCTCCAAGACACCCCCAAGACGCCCCAATAAGCTCCCGTGAGGCCCCAAGAGGACCAACAACGTCAGGCCCCAGGCCCCAAGAGGACCAACAAATACCGCCAAGAGCCCGCCGAAAGCCCCCCAAGAGACCGTCACGAGAGCTCAGGAGGCCCCCTGGAGGCCTCCCGAGTTCTCCAAGAGGCATAAAAAGAGGCGCCAAGAGGCCCCAAACGGCCCCACCGAGGCTCCAAGAGGCCACGAACGCGCAAGCAAACGCCTGCGATGGCACAATACGGGCCGGCGGAATGAGCGAAGCAAAGAATAAGCCGCACTCCGTCCGTGAAAATGCTGCAAGCTGCCTAGACGAATGTGCGCGGCACAGGAATCGCCCTCCATTCGAGAAGCTGCTGTAAACTGTTGGTGCGAATGCGCATGGCGCTGCTAACGCAAGGGCCACAGGGCCACATTGTGAAAACCATCTCCACCTCCATCTGTGAAACTGGTGCGAACTGCTGAAACGAATGCGCGCGACGTTACAGCGAGAACCACAAACCATCCGCTCCATCCGTGAAACTGCTGCAACGTCTCAAGGAGAAGAATGCGCGCGACGTTAATGCGAGAGCTCCATTCCGAGAGCGGCTGGCCCTCCGTCCACAAAACTGCTGCAATCCCACTAGCCCTCTGGGCGTATAGTCTAGGGGGGCTCTGCTTCCAACCTCCTTCGTCCCCTTCGGGAAAGGGTTTACCCCTCCCCCTACCCTCTCACCTGAAAATGGACGGGGGGGGCGGGGCGAGGCGTTGGAGCGTCCAAGATGGCCCAAGACGGCCCCAACAGGGCTTATGAGAGCCCAAGATAAGCTCAAAGATGGCTCAAGATAGCGCACGATGCCTCAAGATGGCTCCCAGCATGCTCCAAGATGGCCGTCCGAGGCCTCAAGATGCCAAAGAGAGACCCAGGACGGCCCCCAGAGCGCCCAAGAGCGCCCCAAAAGCGCCCAACGAGGGGTCCAGGAGGCGATCATCGGTGCCCCCGAGGAGGGAAAGTAATTGGAGCTACCCTGTTTGCTCATCGGTGTCCACAAAGATAAAGATGGCCCCAAGAGCGCCCCTGAAGCTCCCAAGAATGCACCAAGAGGACCCCAAGAGGCGCCCAGACGGCCCCAAGAGGCCTCCAAGAGGCTCCTTAGAGATCCCATACGAGGCCTCAAGAGGATGAAGAGGTAACCAACTCTCCATCTTTATCATCATTCACCTCCGTGTCGTCCTGCTCGTCCTCGCCCTACTCCACCTCATCATCCTCCTCCTCATCCTCCTCCTCCTCCTCCTCCTCCTCCCCCTCCCCCTCCCCCTCCTCCTCCTCATCCTCATCCCCATCCTCATCCTCATCCTCCTCCTCGTCCCCCTCTTCCTCCGACGACGACGACGACTACGATTCCTCCTCCATCCTCCCCCTCTTGGGGTATATGACGGCATCCCCCGCCCACTGTTCTTCTGCACGCTCCTCCACTTCCCTGATCACCTCAACTCCCCTGGATGCACTGGTGGGGATACTTTTTGGTCGCGGCCGCAAGCGAAGGCGCAGGCGGCGTCAGAAGTCGTCCCGGGCTACGGGCGAAACCTAATTATCCAGCGAGCGCACTCACGGCTGACTGGTGGGGATACTTTTTAGTCAACGGCCGCAGGCGAAGGCGCCGACGGCGTGTCCAGTCAAAGCGGGGCGCGCAAAAACGAATGAACCTAAAGCCAATCGGCCGAAGCCTCACGCGGCACCTCGGCGGCCAGGCCGGCGAGTGAAGGCAGGCTGCTGCCAGGGTGCACGCATGCAACGAGCTGCAAGGGCTGACTGCGAGGGCGACCGACTGCCAGGGCCCGCAAGCTGCGGGTAAATTGGAGGCAGGGCGGCATGCAACGAGCTGCGGAGGGCAGCAAACAACCAGGGTGGCCGGCTGCCAGGGTCAGTAAGCTGCAAGTGGATTGCGTGCCCGCATGCAACAGCTGCAGGGGGAGTCTGACTGCCAGGGTGGCCGGCGGCCAGGGAGTCTGACTGCCAGGGTGGCCGGCGGCCAGGGACTGCAAGCTGCGAGCGAATTGGATGCAAGGAAAGCACCCCCAACGCTGAGAAGGTACCAGGGCGGCCGACGCCAGGTGAACCAACCGCCACGACACGAATTGGGCGCGGATGAATTGGACAGCAAAGCTGCGGAGCGGCCAAAATGGCGCGTGAAAGCACCGCGGTGTGACCAGGGTAGCACCTCAAGGTGACCCAACATGCCAACCAGGGCCTGGCGGCGCGAGTGGTGGCGCCAAGAAAGTCGCACACCCGATCCCCAAAAAGAGGGGGCGCAGCCCGAGGCTGATACGCCAGGGAAGGCGACCGACGCGAACAGACGGCAAGGGAGACGAAACCGCAATTTGCGCGGGAACGAAAGCCGGGGGCAGGTGGGAGAAGGCCCCACCGACTCCGGCAGGGGAACCGGGAGCCCAGCCGCGGGGGGGCCACCCCGGCACGGGACGGCACCCGGGGGCGCGGGGGAGAGACGCGCCGAGGGTGACCGAAACAGGGCGGACAGGGGGCGGGCCTCCCACGTCCATCGGCGCATGCTGTCCTCCCGCCGCACGTCGATCAGTCGGGGGGGCGGGCGGCGGGGCCCGCTGACGAGCCTGCGCCGCGGCTGACAGCTGTCGCGACCGGCCCGTTCCACGCGCCTCGCTGCAGGGAGGTACCAAGGAGAGCTGCAACCCAAAAGCCGCGGCGCAGCCCGCTTCTGGCCTAACGGGCCTTGCTTCTCTTGGTGAGGACGCTAAGACCGAACCTCCGTCTCCCTCTGGCCAGACGGGCCCTGCCTCTCCCTGCGAGGTCTGCTGGCCACCAGGGTTGCCCGCGCGGGCGTCGGGGCACGGACTGCGGGAACCAAGGGTGCCTCGATCGCCTGCGCGAGGATGGGGGGGTCTGCAGCACCGCCGAAGGATCCGATGACCACCAGGGTTGCCCGCAAGGACGACAGGACATGGACGTCGGATGCAAGGAGCGCCTCGTTCGCCGGTGAAGGGACGGGCAGGGAATGCCGCTCCACTTCCTTCTGGCCCAACAGGCCCTGGTTCCCGCTGTAAGACAGGCGCCGGCGCCATTCCGCCTTCTCCAAGCCAAACGGGCCCCGCTTCTCCTTGCAAGGTCTGCAGGCCACCAGGGGTGAACCCTTGGACGCCAGAGCGCGGAGGTCGGATGCCAAGGGCGCCTCGTTCGCCTGGGAGGGGAGGGGGAGACTGTCACTCCGCTTCCTTCAGGCCAAACG